ATCGAAATCTCTGACATATTATTATTATCTTATAGTTGTCATAAAAATTAGTATTACCATTATTATTATAGCTATGCATGGTATTTGGAAACATCCCACTAATATCGCCAAATAGCGATTGATGCCCGTACCGATAGCCCAGACGATCTTGGGAGGAAGAGTGTCGTTTCTTTCTTAGGAGTTGACAGCCTTGTGGCTCATGTATTTCATATGTTTGTGCGTTAAATTTCAAGATGTTATTTTATTTTTAACAGATGATTTTTTCTTCGATACACAAAAATAATCAATATCAAAAGCTTCCTCCATATTCGTCCTTTGTGAGAGGTGGAAAGTACTTGGAAATGTTTCGAAAGTAACAAGTGCCAACAGCAACCACCCGCTGACAAGATTGTCGATGGCTTCCCCTTTCGAAGGCTGCCAAATAAAATTAGTAATAAAATGAGTGATCGAGATGTCCATGCATCTTCGGCGTTTAGTTTCAGGAGTGGCAGTGGAATGCAGCACTCTACAGTTTTTTTTTTTACTCTTAGATTTTCACTCGTTTGCATGCTTGTTTTGTTGTTTGCGAATGATCTTGGCCCGTTAGAACTTCTCCATAGTGTCATTCCAGATTCATAGGAACTAATCTTCGAATAATCTTTTTGTAAGTAACGCGGTACTCCCGAGCCTGCTTCTTTTGCGGCACGGTGCGTTAAAATTTTCAAACTCAGACAAAAAGCGATGCCCGACGTTCAACCAGTTTTTCCGAGATTACGAGTCAAATCAGCGTGCGGTTGAAGGATCGCAGGAATGTCTTAATGGCCAGTCTGTGAAGGATGAGGAGCAGTGCTCGGGCGATAGCTCTGACGGCGACGGAGGCCCAACAGCTGTTGGTAGGTTTTATCAAAGTTTGCTGTAAACGTGGACACGGAATCGCTCCTCCCTTCCTTTTGGTTTTCTTGAATTTAATTGTAATTGCACTTTGGATTAGAGTAAAGATTGTGTTGATTCGGAAATTTTTTTTGTCTTTTCCGTGACGCTTGGAGAGCTTTACTTTCGTGGATAAGAGAACAACTGAAAGTGCATTGCAAAATGCAAATTTTATATTTTGCTGCCACTGCGAAATCCTTTTTCCGCTCTACGCCCGAATTATCACTTACACGTTATTTGGCGCGGAGTTAGCTTATTATTTTTAGAGAAACACCAACTGGCTTGCCTTTCTATTCATTTTTCAGAACGGAGTTTGGCAGCGATGTTAGGGACTGAAGACAACAACAACACATCTGATGATGATTCCAAAAACGATGCATTTTTGGATCGAATTTTTTCTGATACTGGTATGTCTCGAGCGCGTACCGCGTAGATCTTTGATCATTTTTTTCTAATGTAATTGATCTACTGTATGATTGAACTCTCTGGATGAAATATTTGTTCACAGCCATCTGTACATTTTAAGTGTTTTTTTCACTTCCTGTGTCTTATATGCATAGTGGGGTTTTTTAATATATATACTGAAAATTTATATTTTTTAGGTGCAGATGATAATGGTGAGCAGCAGACTGCAGATATTTCGGAGAGTAATGGAGAAGCAGAAATGGCTGAAAGTTCCAGCGATTGTGCAAACGGTAAGAAAGTAGTTTAATTACATCACTTAACCTTATGGTCTTTGTCTCCAAGCAATGCATCTGACAATTTTTCTTGCTATCTGGACCAGTGCTACATCGCTCGTTGGCCAGAGCTGGTAACTTTGAAGTTATTTTTTTTGTC